GAGCAGGGCCCCCTGCAACTAGAGCAAGTTGCTCAGAGCCCCGGCCAACCTCACCTGGGATGGTTCCAGGGATGGGGCAGCGACCACCTCGCTGGGCAGCGTGGGCCAGGGGCTCACCACCCTCAGCGTCACAAATTTCTTCCTTCTCTCCAGTCTAAATCTCCCTCTTTTAGTTTAAAACCATCCCCCTTGTCCTGTCCCAACAGGCCCTGCCCAAGAGTCTGTCCCCAGCTTTCTGACAGACCCTTTAAGGACTGAAAAGGCACCAGAAGGTCTCCCCAGAGCCTTCTCTTCCCCAGGCTGAACAAGCCCAACTCTCTCCTGGCCTCCCAGCAGAGGTTCCAGCCCTGTGTGATCATTGCTGTGGCCTCCTCTGGCCCTGCTCCAACAGGCCCATGTTTCTCCTGTGCTGAGGAGCAGCAGCATTTGAGGTCACTCACCAGCAAGCTGAAATCAAGCTGACATCTCACGTCACCAGTGGATTTCTGCCAGGCCCCTTCCCCAGGGAGGTCTCTCTGGGACACTTGCTGGTCATTCTGAGCTGCTCCAGCTGATGCAGCAGACCCCTCAGAAGACCCAAGCCTGCTCTGCAGCTCCAGAGCACTTGCTCTATAAACAGGGTCTCACCCCAAGTCCCTTCACACGCCCCTGCCAAGCCCAGAGAGCACAGCAGCAGGAGATACTCACACGAAGTGGGCAAAGATGGTGTCACCCATCAGGCCTGACAGGATTAAGTGCTTCTTGGTGATGTCGTAGACAGGCAGCTCCACCCCCACCACGATGGCTGCTCTCTGAGCTGTTGGCACAACACCCTGCAGGGCACAAACACCCGTCACAGCCACAAACACCCTCCAGAGCACCAACACCACTCACTGCTGGTGTCTGTGCTGGAGAACAGCACGAAGAAGAGCTCAGAGCTGCAGAACCACCACTAAAACCCAAAGGGGAAGGCTTGAGCACCCGTGACACTCAGCTGCCCCTGCCCAGGGGCCTCACATCACCAGCCTCCCCCAAAGCCACTGCTCTGTCCTACTCTGCAGGCTCAGTGGGCAGGTTTCAAGGGCCCTGAGATGAGGTGGGTAGGAACAGAGGGACAACCCGCCCCTTTGGAACTCCAGGAAGCTCCTGTCTGCCCAGTAATCAGGGCTTTCCTACCACTCCTGGTTCACAGCTCTTTTCCAGAGCTGCACCCGGGTGCAGAGAACAAGCAGAGGAAGCTCCTGGTGCTGCCCCTGCTGCTGTTCCACAGCTGCTGCTCACCCTCCAGAGGCCGCGGGTGCCCTCCTGGCGGTAGATGTCGATGAAGCTGCCGATCATGCCACCCTGGAACAAGCTGCCCTGGGCCTGCATCCGGATCTGGAAGAGAGGCCGGGCTCACTGGGGTGATGCCAGCCCCTGCCCAGAGCGGTGACACCAATCTGGATCTCCCAGCAGGAAGAACCACGGGGCAACTCGGAGCAGGTGCCACCGCCCGAGTGCCCCCTCCCTGCCGCGGTGCCAGCAAGGAGCGGGGGCACACACAACACTCAGATGTGCCCGAGGAGGGCCAGGCAAGGCCTCCTCGCTCTGAGGAGGCTGGTGTCCCAGGCAGAAGTGCCCCAGGCTCTCTCTGCTTGCAGCAGGACAAGGCACACCCCGCCGGGTGCCCCTCGGAGCTGGCAGGACTCTGGGGCAGTGCCAGCGCTGAGGGTGAGGGGCTGAGAGGGTCTGGACACCCCCCACTGCCCAGCCCAAGGAGCAGCACACCCCACCCCAGAACACACGGCAGGGCCTTCAAAAGCTGCATCTTTAGAAGCCTGTTTATTGCTCTGGGCTTCTGTTCCTGCTCAGAACAGCCCACACCAGCAGAGCTGATGCCAGCAGCAGTGACATCGAGTCCTTACTGGAAGCTCCTGCCAAAGAGAGGACATCAGGTGCTGCCTCTTTCTCTACGTGCAAACAAGGACTTGAATCTAGCACAGAAAAAGGCACAAGTTGCCCAGCCACAGGGACATTCTTCCAGTCACCTCCTCCTGCAGGGGACCTCACCTGGAAGCTCACGCTGGCAGCTTTGACTGGGGACTCTAGAAATCTAAACCACCCTCTCTGCAGGGCAAGATTTACACCTCAACCACCTCACTCCCACCTTCGAGTCCCTGAATTAACTCTTTGCTAGCATTCCACACCAACTCCTGATGCTACAAAGACTACAGATCTGTTTTCCCCTTGCAGGGCTGTTTCCTTTTCCTTGACTGCTCTCTCCTCCCTCCCCGGAGGGAGCTGGGCAAAGGGACTGTAATGGTTTGAAACCTGCTG